CCATAATCCCAGCACTGTGGGAGGCTGAGGCAGATCAGATTCAATTCTGAACACAAGGAGCACAAAAAGGGGGTCAGTGGGTAGGAAATGACTACTAAGAGGCCCCAAGTGGGGGTGGCTGCTAAAGTAGCCGAATATGTCTTCTAAAGTGAGCCAAGGGCCTAGATAGCATGCAAAATGCAGAACTTGCTCAGGTGATGGGTTGGGTAGGGGTGAGGTGGGGGAGAATCTTCCTCAACCCTCTTTGCAGGGGTCCTGCAAGGTGGTCTTTGTGAGGATGGACACAGAAGCCCGGGGTGATGGCTTATGCAGAAAAGGACTAGAGGAGCCTGACCAGGGTTGGTCCAAGGGAGAGTCTTTGTTGACCTCAGTCTCCTTGTGTGTTAAGTGGGGATGACAACACCACACAATCCACTCACAGGTTGTTGTGTGATAAAGCTGCCCAGAAGATGCCCTGTAAACCCTATATGTGTGGGAGAAGGTCTGGGAATTACGCCTTCTATGTTAGGTTGAATGTACAACGCTGCAGAGCTCACATTCAGGAAGACCCCAGATGCTCCTCCTCCTCACTCTCAGTGCTGTTTGGTTCTTGATGAATCCTCACCTGACTTCACCAACAGCCAGCAGCTGATGTGAGGAGGAAGAGTGGGGAGCTAATGGAGGAGAGCACAGATTTGGGAAGTGAGGTGCATGTGTAAGCCGGAGGCAGCTATTGGAGCTGTACCTTGTGCTGAGAAGTCTGTCCTATGGCGATGACGTAGTCTGTGGAAGAAGAGCTTTGTCACAATGTTTTGAAGCAGTGGGAAAAAGAGGATTTACTCGAAGAATACTAATCTTGGGCAGGGTATCAAGTATCAAATGACAGCCGTGTGCCTCTTGACAATGGGGACATGTTCTGATAAAGTCATTGTCAGGCAATTTTGAATATCACCCAGGGTATTTACCACAAACCTAGGTGGTACAGGTTCATCACTTTACACCATCTCTCTTTGTTTCTCCAGTACTGGGAATCAAACCCAGGGCCTCTGCAGTGAGCTACTCTACAGCCCTTTTTGTTATTTTTTTTATTTGGAGACAGGGTCTTACTAAATAGCCCAGGCTGCACATAAACTTTCAATACTCCTGCTTCAGTCTCTCAGAGTGCTGGGATTACAGGTGTGCACCACCATGCCCAGCTTGATGCAATCAGACACAGAGGTGTAAGGCTCCTGCTGGTGTAACAGGAGACACTGCTTACAGTGCGCTTTTTTAGTAAATAGGAGTAGCTGTAAAATAATGATCTAAAGTACAGTAAACACATAAACCAGTAACTCAGTTGTTTATCATCATTAAGTTATATATACTTCAAATAATTGTATGTGCTATACTTTTATCTGGCATGTTTGCATACACCAGCCTCACCACAAATATTTGAGGAATGTGTGGCACTCTGACATTATGATAGCCATGGTATCACCAGTTGATAAGGATTTCAGCTCCATGACAAAGCTCACTGACTGGTTGTCATCTGAGACTTTAAGTGGAGCATGACTGTATAGCCCTATTTTACATAACACTCTAAAATAAACAGAAGACCAATAGAAATACTAAATAGAAGAACAAAACCACAAAGCATGGGTAAATATTTACATAATCTGGAAAAGAGGCTTGATCTAGGAGAAAATAAACTGAACATATTTGATTCCTGACAGAGCATGCGCTCTGTAAAAGAGATACAAATGTCAGCAAGTGAAAACACAGGCCCAGCATCAAGTCCAAAGAATATATTCTTAAGGTATGAAAACAGCTGGAAAACTACAAAAAAAGATGGAATACCACAAGAGAAAAATAGTCACAAAGGCAGACGTCCCTAATAATAGCCAGGCGGAACCACTCTCCATCACAAATCAAAGCAATGCAAATAAAACGAAAGGATTAAACACATCTTCAGAAGATTTTTATTAGGAATTTGAGACTAATACATTAGAACTACAATAATATCCTGGTTTAATGTTGGATCTTAAATTCTAAAGTAATACAAGAAACATCATCCAATAAATGTGTGTAAACTTGAATAATTTCTTTAGAGATATTAGACTTTAATGCAAAGATTAAAATCATTCCTAATTAGCACTTTCATACAAATAAACATTGCTGAAGTTCTTTATTTTCAAAATTAAGACCCATAAGGTAAAATTTGCTTATCAAATTATCTTCTAGGTAGTATAAATTTTAGTTTAGCTTTTTATAGAATAATAACCAAAAAGTTTCAAAGTAAAGGAAAATTGGTTCCTACCAAATTTGGAAACTTCCATTTATTTAAACCCTCATGCTGAATGAGGCTGAGGCTGGGTAAGGCATAGACTTCAGGGCTCCAGAACTCCTGGATGTCCATAACTGTGGGTCTTCGTTCTGCACTTGGATAAGCAGTTTGTGAGTATGTGAGTGTGTGTGTGCGTGAGTACATGAAAATGCATCCCTGTATGCTTGTGGGTATATCATAGGAAGGCATGTGAGCTTGAACACATCAGTACATGCTTTGAGTTTTATGAGTTAAGGGAGTGTCAAATGCTGGCTGGAAACTAGGCAGCTGGCCTAGTAAGAACTCTTCAGGAAAGCCTTGGCCAAAATAGTAACAGGGACAATTGAGGATCTCTTGTTAAAGATCAGCTTTCCCATGGAGTGAAAGAAAGCCAGAGCAGTGGAACAAAAGACATGCATCTTAATCCTGACTGTCATTCATAAAACACGCTTTGTCTATTCAGAGTGATTTTAGTACTTGGCTCTGTGGGCCAAGGGTAGAAAAGATCAAGAAGGAATTTTTTTTATAAAATTACACTTTCAATGAACTGAGCTTTCTATGGGGGAATTCAAACCCACTTCATTCAGTACATTTAAAAAAAAATTAAGCAAGGAATTGTTTTAAGTTAGAGATTTCCCATAGGACGTGGTTTTGCTGAATGGCTCCAGAAAACATTTGTTTTTAAATGGTGATTTGTTAACTGAGTTAAAGCCAGGGGAAAAAGAAAAGAAAATAGGGTGTTCAGGTTTTTTTTCATAAAGACTACTTGCCTGGCAAAAGCATATTCCCTGGAGCTCAATAAATACGCTAAACATATACCTACTCCACAGGGTCATAAATCCTTGTGGGACCAGTCTCTGCCCTTCCCCCACCACAGCAAATGACCAGAAGGGGAGACAAGCCACTTGCATGCACCAAGCGAGTCCCATTTTAAGCCTTCCTAAGATTATAAAAGAGGTGAATGCATGTATTCATCCAAAGCTATTGATCCAGCTACTGGATAAAGACTGGATGCAAAGAGAGGACTCAGGAAACAAGCAGCTTCCTCTGGAGACCTCATCCCTCCAGGTGTCAGCCAAGAAGTTATGATCAAATATTTATTAGTGGTGCCTCTGGTTGGGCTGTCTAAGCAGAGGGGAAATAAGGCATTTTAGGCATGGGCTGGATTGCTAATTGAGCACTGCCTAGATACAGACTAACATCTGCTCTTTAATTACACAAAGAGGTCTCCAAGTACTCCTCCCTCCTGCTCCTGGGATGCAGATGCCTGCTTATTTTGCAACTGTATTTAGTCATGGAATTTCCAGAGCCACTTGAGTCTGCAAAGGAAGCCCATGACCAATGAGTCAGAATGTTAACTCATGCAAAGCATTATCTGGTAAAGCAAGAGATGATACTTGGGTGCAGTCATGACTAGTTGGATTATTGCAGCATAGGTGGGAGATGACACTGTGTTTCTCTGCTCCTTGTCTTAGTCAATTTTTTGTTACTGTAACCAGTTACTTGAGACTGGGAAATTTATAGCCTTGATGTCTACTTGGCTCATGGCCAAGAAGCCCAAGGGCGTGGCACCACCGTCCAGTGAAGGCCTTCTTTCTGTATCCTAACATGCCAGAGGGCATCACATGGCAAGTCCAAGCAAATGTCTCAATTCAAATCTCCCTTTTTCTTCTTACTAAGCCACTAGTCACTCAGATGGGGGGGGCCCCACCCTGATGACCTCATCTCATCCTAATAACTTCCCAAAGGCCCCACCTTCAAATACCTTCCACTAGGAATTTGGAGATTAGATTTCCAACACGTGAAATCTGGGGAAACGTATTCAAAATGGTAGCACTCATCCATGGTGGAATTCAACCTGCCATCCCACACCACCAGTCCCTTGCTCCGCTGGAAACCTTTCTCATTGGCATCACCCAATCATTTACCAAAGTATTAGTGCAGAAAAACCAACATGAGGGGCAGTGAGGTCTCATTTAGTTCTCAGAAAGAGAATTCTGTGGGTATCTTTATACCCTTGGGTATATTTCTGACCTAATAACAGTAATTCCAACTGTGAAATAAGAAGCTGAACTGTATCTGTGAGGTCTGTAGTCAAAGCTACAGGTTCTAAACATCCAAGTGACAGCAGTCTCAAAATTAAGTGGAGAAAGAGCTTTATTTAGTTATTTTTTTAAGTGAACCTAGAGCCTTGTGCTTGCAAAACACACACTCTACAGTAGAGCTATAGCCCCACCCCTACAACTTGGTTTTAAAAATGACAGAAACTTAATATTTGGACCTTGTGATTCAGTAGGTTTTTATGAAGTCTAGAAATAGGCTAGTATCTAGAGGGCAAGAATTTTTGGAGGCCTAAATGCTATTCTATCAACCTGAATGCATTAATTCATCCTATGAAAGGGCTTGAGGAAGAATCTGGTTCTCATTTGACCAGACAAGGTGTGTACACCCCTCTCTGTGTCTGGGATCCTGTCAGGGCTGGGTTGGCTGCTTCATTGTTTGTGTTTCCATTTTCTCCTGCTGTGCAGTGGAGACAACCTGGCCATCATGTGTGCCAAAGGTGTCACAAGGACAATCGTTTGGTTGCTGTCACTATAGAAAGCTAGAAAATATTAAGTAAAATCTCACCAAACAATACATGAATAAACAATCTGATTGTAGCTGGCCACTTAAGTCTGCCCACGCAGTTTCCACCCTAAGCCCTGTCTTTTCTCTTCAGCTGTCTTTGCTAAGCTAGAAGATAATCCTGTGACATCAGGTGCGACAGTTGCCAGGGGGACCCCAGGTAAAGAAGATCTCATTCCAACCACAAGTGGTTCTGAAGCACCTCGGCCATCTCCTAGGCTGACAACTCAGGTGAGTAATCCCAGCAAGGGAAAGATTTGCTCCAAAGGCCTGCAATCACCTGTAAGCATGAAGGTATATTATGTTCATGTATTATAATCAGTGTGAGCCACCAGGCAAAGGAACAATTGTGTGGCTCACAACAAAAGCTGTTTCCTGATTTCATCCCGTGAGGAGGCAGCTGGTGTGCTGATCTTAGGTGATTCCAGAGTCAAAGACTAGGACTTCTTAAACTAGTAAAGAATAGGTTTTAAAATTTCTAATCTACAGCACATTTTTTAATACAATAAAAAAGTCTTTATGTTGTGATAATGTGATTGCTCTAAGTTCCTAAATTTGTACTCTGATTACAGTGGTATTAAACATGGACCACACTCATAAAAACTATGTGGAATCTAAGCAGACACATTTCCTCACCCAATGGGCTGTTATTGACACATGGCTGAAGTGGCTGTTGTGGGCTAGACAGGATGCCCAGGTGCTGGAAGGGAGGGAGGAGGCAGGTGAGCCACACCCTTGGTCCTTTGGGAATTCATAATTCAGTGGTAATGTACACAGGCTCCTGCCTGCCTTATGCACCCCTTCCCCATTGCTTTATCCAATGCAGCCCTGTGGGCCTTTCTGACCCTCAGTATACCAAGCTTGGTCCAACCTAGGTTTCCTTTTTCTCTGCCCACAGCATTCCCCCATCCTCCCTTGGTTGACTTTCACAATTGTCAAATTCAGCGTTATCTCAAAGAGATTTAACTGAAATAATCCTCTCCCCAAACCCCCAGGAGTTACTCTTCAGCCCTGGGTTTGACAAACTATTCCAAAGACTTGGCCCACCAATTATTTTTATAAATAAACTTTTCCCGGAACTCAGCAATGAAAATGTTTTTGAAAAGTATATGGCAGCATTTATACTATAAGAGAAGAATTGAATTAGTTACAGCCTGCAAAGTTGAAAATATCCACCTTTTTTGCCTTTAAAAATTTGTCTGGTGTAGTTGATATTTTCTTCAGCATTTAAAGCCATTAAAAACTACCCTCAGAGGTGGATGCAGTGGTGCTCATTGTAATTCTAGCATCTTGGGTGGCTGAGGTAGGAGGGTTGCAAGTTCAAGTCCATCCTGGGCAACTTGATAAGACTGTGCCTCAAAATATAAAATAGAAGGGGTTGTGGATGTAGTTCAGTAGTAGAGCACTCTTTAGTTCAATCCCCAGCAGCTGGGTTCAATATCCACTACTGCAAAACAAAATAAAACAAAACAAAAAATTACCTTTTTATTTGTTTACATGCTATATTTTCATATTCTGCCACCCAGCCCCACCTGTAAGTGCCAAGAGCTTGGAACTATGCCAGGCCCATAGAAAATACTGAATGGCATATTTTTTATTGTGGCAAAAATCACAGAAGTGAAATTTACCATCTTAACAGTTTTTAAGTGTACGTTTCAGTAGTGTTAAGTATATTCACATTGTTACACAGATCTTCAGAATTTTTTTATCTTGTAAAACAGAAATTCTGCACCTGTTAAATAATAGCTCCTTATTCTTCTCTTCCATTGGCCCTGGTAACTGCCATTCTACTTTCTGTCTCTCATATTTTAACTACTCTAGGTACCTTGTATGTGGAGTCTTACAGAATTCACCCTTTTGGGACTGGTCTAACAGCCTCAAGGTCCACCTGCTATTGCCTGTGTCAGGAATCCCCTCCTCCTTGAGGCTGGATCATGTTCCACTGGATGTGGGCACATTTTGTTCATCCATGCAGCCATCCAAGCCCACTGGGGTTGCTTCTGCCACCTCATGGCAATCATTCATGAATAGAGCTTCTAGGAAGCACTATCCCCTGCGTATGCAAATATCTTTTAGACATCCTGCTTTGAATTCCTTGAGGTTTACATCCAGAATTGGGATTGCTCAATCATAAGGTAGTTCTATTTTTATTATTTTGAAGAACTGTCATTCTGTCCATAGCAGTGACATCACTTTACATTCCCATGAGCAGTGTACAAAGTTACAGTTTCCCTCTCCAGCAACTCATATTTTCTGGGGTTTTTTGATAGTAGTCATTGTACTAGAAGTGAGGCAGTTGTGGCTTTGATTTGCATTTCTCTGGTCAGTGGCACTGAGCATCCTATCACACATTTCTTGGCCATTTGTGTGCCATCTTCAGGGAGATGTCATTTCAAGTCCTTTGCCCCATTCATCATTGAGTTAGAGTTTTTTGTTGTTAAGTTGTAGAAGTTCTTTACAAACCTACCAGGTACCTGATTCCAAATGTTTTCTCCCATCCTGTAGGTTGCCTTTCTGTTCGGTCGATTGTGACAAGCCTTTACATTTGATGTGGTCCAGTTTGTTTGTTTGTTTGTTTTTGGTACCAGGGATCGAACTCAGGACCTTGCACGTGAAGGGAGGCAGAGGCACCACTGAGCTAATCTCCAGACCGAATTTGTTTTTGATTATGTCACCTATGCGCGCTGGCTTGTTTGTTAAATCTTACATTGACATGAACTTTGGAGTCAAGAGAACCAATTCTTTAGAATTTTCTAAGTGCTTAATATCTTTTAGTATGCTGATGAGTAGACTAATAGCTGGCAGCCTTTGAAGTGAGGTCTGAAAAACAAACCTGGATTAGAAGGTTGTGGACCCCCCCCCCCCACATACTCCTCAACTTCTGTGGAGAGGAGAGGCACTGAAGGATAAATTTAAGTTCATCACCACTGGCCAATGAATTAATCAATCATGCACATTTAATGACATCTCCATAAAAACCCAGAAGGACACGGTTCAGAGAGCTTCTGAGAAGCCGAACTCATGGAGGTCTCTGGAGGTTTATGTACTCACAGAGGGCAGGGAAGCTCTGTACCCTCGCACGTAACCTCACCCTATGCATCTCTTCACCTGCTTCTTGGTAATGTCCTCTGTAATAAACCAGTAAACATCAGAAAACCTCATCTTGCTCTGTCACAAGTGGCTATGAGTTGGGGCACACTGTCAGATTCCTCTAAGCCTCATTTGTATAGTGGTACTAACAGTGGGATTGACTTCATAAGGCTCTGCATGGAGTGAGCTTTCAGCAAGGCTAGCTGCCACACTCATGGAGGGAGGCATGTAAGCATGATACATTTATCTGCCAAAGAAATGATAGAAGGGAAAAATACATTCAAGTTTACAGAAAGAAAGGATGAAAGCCCACTGATCTAGTGTTCCTGGAAGTTTAAGAAGTCACCATGCTAAATGCGTGGAATTCATTTCTAGGGTTGACTTCAATTCATTCCCATCCCCGCCCTTGTGTCTTTTTGTTGATTTTTTTTTGTTTCTGCTTTGAACTGATGCCATCACATCATTTATATATTTATGCCACTTTGAATCTATTTGTAAGTCAAGAGTATAAGCTTTAAAACACTAGGCTTTATTTTCTCTTTTGCCTCATTTACATCTCTAATAGGGGCCAGCAGGTGCAGAAAGTACAACAGGTCCTGGTGTGGAGGATGTGTCAACCTTAGGAAGCTCAACCCAGAATCACCAAAAAAGCCAGACAACCACAACCCCACCTATGGCAACCAATACCTCAACAGGTAAAAAGACCAGTTACCCCAAAAGGGGTTGATCTAGTTTTGCAAAATCTATGTATTCCCAAAGTCCATGAACAAATATAATAATCAATAGAGGATACAGTGGAATGCAAGAGTAAATTCTGAACCATATGGTGGGTTCAAAATTTGATTTTTGAGTTGCTAAATCAAATCCAAGTTTTGGACTACCAGAAATATCTCTCTACTTGCTTGATAACTAGTGATAATGTTACACTTACCTACAAGGGTTAGTAGCTGCTGATGTTGTTTCACTGGCCCTACATTAAGAACTTTGTGTTGATATCCAACAGCATGAAACTCAGTTGACATATGTGAGTCTGAATGGACTCTACACTAATATTTACCATCTTACATTAAGTTCATGTTTGTACACATGGGACAAGACACCATACTTACAAGGATTTGGGGTTGTATTTGTGATCTATAGTTAGCACCTGCAGTGAGCAAAGAACCAAGTAAGTCTAAACAAGGAGAAAATTATCGATGTAAGTGATCATTGTAATACATTGCAAAATTTTAGAGAATTACTCACTTGTAACATGAGTTGATAGCTAATTAGCAACAGAAAATAAATTCTTCTATGGTAAGTATTCTTTTTATGATACCCAAAATGCTCTTATATTCCCTCAAAAAATATTTCTCAGTTGCCTGGAAAATACTCATTACTCTCCCTCCTTTTTTTTTTTTTTGGTAGCAGAGATCAAACTCAGGACCTTGCGCTTCCAAGGCAGGCAGCAGAACCACCTAGCTGAATCCCCAGCCCCTACTCTCCATTCTTGTTCCCTGCCCCACATGTTACAAGAAGTGTGACTTAGTGCACATACCTGCTTCATATTTCACCATGCCAAGGTGTTTCACATATGAGTCAAAATGTCATTACACCTGGGCCTTGGCTACTTGCTTACTCTGGAGGTTGAAGGAGGAGGATCCCAAATTCAAGGTCAGCCTGGCCCACTTAGCAAGATCCTGGCTCAAAAAATAAAAAATAAAAAGGGATAAGGATGTTGTTCAGTGGTATAGAGTGCTTGCCTAGCATGTACAAGGCTCTGGGTTCCGTGGCTCATACTGCCAAAAAAAAAAAAAAAGTCATTACAAGCCCTTGATTTTTAAGAGGGTAATTTTTTTTAGGACCACAGATGTCCACTTTTCCTATGAAATGCTCAAATATAATGATCACATATATGATGTATGCTCATAATCACAATCAATGTAATAAGGAGGGAAAGGGGAGTACAGGACTAATAAGCTCTCAATCACTGACAGATCTACAAACTTAATTTTCAGTAATTCATTTTGTAACTGATGGTGTCTTTGATAGTGATAATAGTGTATTTTGAGCCTAGAATCAGTAGCCACCAAGACGTGTAAGCAAATGATTGACCTATCTTTGCTGGTAACTGGCTTCCAGGAACAACATTTTAAAAGTTGATTTGATGACCTCATTGCTCTGGGAAGGCCCAAGCCCAGCAGTTTCCCCACTGTTTTCTATGGCGGGGTTCCCCAGTCCATCTGTGTACCATATAAGTGCTCCAAAGCCATGGATTTGATTGGTGTAGGGAAAGCTGGATTCTGGGGCCCTCACCCTGGCCCCATTTTGAAAAGACACGTTTCTTAGGGAGTCTTGGTATAGAGGAATAGCTTATTTCAAACCCAACCCCTAGAAAAAGTGAACATCTTTTTGAAGATGGTTGACTAGTGTGTTGGGAAAAACCAACCCCATACTCAACCTCAGACTGTTTCTCCTACTCACAGCACAAGTCATTTCTGACATGAGATACATGAGGCGCCCCCAACACCAAGTAAGTGCGCGATTCTGCAGTGGACACCAGCTGGTATCCTCTAGTCCAATTCAATTCCTACTGTATCTGGGGCTGGTGTCAGATACCATAGTTGAAGGCTCTGTCATCAAACCTTTAGATGCCAACTGCAAGCCCCAGGTGGTTCTATCTCTACTTCTGACCAACCAGCTACAAATCAGGGTTCCCGTACCCCCTCTTTGGGGTCAGTTAATTTGCAGAGTGGTTCAAAGAGCTCAGGGCAACACATTTACCCATTTATTATAAAGACTATTACAGTGATACCAAAGAAGAGATAGATAGGGCTAAGTATGGGGGCAGAGAGCAGTTTCCCTGATCTCTTTAGACCATTGCCCTCCAGGAGCTTCCCTATGCCCAGTCATAGGGAAGCTCCCCGAACCCTGTTCTTCTGGGTTTTTATGGGGACTTCATTGCATAGGCAAGATTACAGCATGGACAACTGTGTCAAAATGTGATTGGACAGGGCCGGGGATTTAGCTCAGTGGTTCCGCTGCCTGCCTTGCAAGCGCAAGGACCCGAGTTTGATCCCCAGTACCAAAAAAAAATGTGATTGGACAAAAGCATGTGATTTAATGCGAATATACTGAGCAGGGCCTTTCTGCTCAGATTCTTCATGACTCTTCTGTGCAGCGATCCTTACTCCAGGGCAAGAGGCAGAGCCCCTCTGGAAAAAAGAGAGTCTTCTGCCTCTGATGTACAGAGGGGAGGGCAGAGAATTTTTTTATGGCCAGCCAGCTTGGCAAAAGAAAATCAGGGGAAGATTAGACTTTCTGTGAGCCACCTTGGAGAAAAGAAATTCTAGTTTCTATTGTCTGCCTTGAAGAAGGAGCTATGAGCCAGAAACTGTGCAGGAAAACCAAATACATATATATAATCACAGGTAGTTTTACTTTTAATTAGAAAGGCTGTCGGATATCTAAGGATATTTTGCAAGGCATGAACTAAGATTCTCTTCAATTTATCATTAAATCAAGGTATTTTTGTTTCTCCATTTGCCAACTAGCTGAACAGCTACTATTGAATGGAGTTAAACATTCAGCTTACTAAAAGGTTAATGGGAGAAACAAAAACCACTTTAATTTCAAATTAGGAATTGTATAGAATTACCTAAAAGGAACTCAGAATGGAGAGTATCCACATTGCAACTATTGGGCTAGGTTTGACTGCAGAGAGAAATCCTAAAGTGTCTGTGGCATAAACACCTAGGGTATATTCTCTCATCAGATTTAGCTGGGCATATTGCTGCCTTATGAAGTCTGGATCTGGGTACCAACAAGGCAGGGAATACATAGCATTGGGTGAATAACAGCTCTGCTAACTCTTTCCAACCTAGAATATTGCTTTCAAAATGAGTAACAGACCTCGTCACCATTTGTAAGCTTTTCATGATCTTGATCTTGGACTAAGGATACACAGCTCTGGATTTTTTTGCTACCATAGTGTCAGAAACTTTTTGACAATTTATTTCACATCTCTGTGGTTTAGTATATACAAAAGTACTATGAACCCATACATGTATTTGTAAATTTGATAATAGCTCCTGCCAGAGCTTGATTAACAAACCCCCATCCAATTTATTTAAGAAATTATCCCCTTTACGTATGTTTGCTATTTTCCACTCAAAGTAAAATCATCCTTTGCCTGTTGCTAAATTATAGTTATGAAATCCTAATAATTCTGTATCATCTCTTTCTTTGCAGTGACTGTGACTGAATCAACACAGACAGCAGTTCATAAAGGTAGGCAAGGTTTTGGTGTTAAAGTATTCCTGTAGGAGTTGAAAAGAAAGCTTTGTCACTGATCTTTGAGATGAGTTACATTCTTTCTTGGGTTTCTCCCAATCTGACTCCTCCCCTGCCCCACTCTCTCCTTCTCTCCTTCCTCCCCCTTTCTGAAACGGGAATTCCCTTTATTTGAATAGAATCAGGGCTGGGGGCGGGGTGTGGCTCAGTGGTAGAGCACTTGCCTAGCATGCACAAGACCCTGTCCTCATGCCTCAACACTACAAAAACTAAAATAAAGTAAAATACTGGCCAGTGCTTCTCTACTTATGAGCTAAATTCCAATGAATATGGGGGAAATGACATAGAACATTGTTTGCTGTGTGCAATAGGCCATGCCATTGTTTTATGTGACACGTCGTATGTGTTTCCTAAGTCTCAATGCTTCTATTCTCTCCCATGCAGATGGTTTGTCAACAGCGAGCCTGGCTGGAATTGTCATTGGGGTCTTAATCACCATTGGCTTCCTTGGTGGAGTCATCTTTCTCTTTGTTTGGAAAATGTCCAAATGATTCTTGTAAGTAAATACCCCCATGTAGCTAGCTGTGGTGGCACATACTCTGGAAGGCTGAGGCAGGAAGATTGTAAGTTCAAGCCCAGTCTGGGCAACTTAGCAAGACCCTGTCTCAAAATAAAAAAGGAAATAAGGGCTGGGGATGTAGCTCAGTGCAAAGGCCCTAGGTTTAATCCCCAGTATAAAAAAACGAAACAAAACCAAAAAAAACCCTACGTGTTGCAAGAATGAAGGCAATCATGCCCCAAACTCAAAACTCTGAACTAGTAGAAGCTTTTATATAAAGTTCATGATCAACAACCTGTTGCTTTCACAAATAGTACATCTGAAATTTCCCCACAAGAACTGATGGCCTACTTAGGCCTTATAAGTCCCCCTCCCCAAATAAATATATAAATAAAAGCCAAAGATAGCTCTTAAATTGATTTCTGTTGAGATCTGACCAAATCTGATTCTTGGTTTTCCAACTAAACAAATCTGAAAGAAAACCCCAAACAAGTTTTAACACAGTGTCCAATCCCCCACCCCCACCCCCAGGCCTCCAGCCATCTGAGGTGGGTGGGTTCTGGAAAAGCCCCTGTCTGGGAGCCAACCCTCCATCCTGAAGAGAAATTCCCTGGGGATGGAGAAATCTTTTGATCAGTTCCTTCCTTCCAGCCCTGCTCTGCACACCCCACACACAGACCTGTCACATACTGTACCCCCACTCTCACAGATCAAGGAGGGAAAGGAGTAAATTCTCCTTAGTAAACTTCTCATGGATTCAGAATAAATCAAGTTTACATCCAGAGGAAAACCTTTTCTTATGATGGAGAAGAAGGGAAAGGACACGTGATGTATAGCTAGGAAGTCAAGGGACACATTTGAGACACAGCTGCAGATAGACGATGTTTGGAAATGCTAGGAAATCTGACTCTGGCAGTGTGAGGACTAGGGACAGAGGAGGCCTGTACCCAGGAAGGGAGAAAGGCAAAAATTCTGGAACTGGAGGACTTAGAGAAAAGGACAATGGAGACAGTGAACTCATGGGGTTACTTTTCACAATGCCAGGAAAAGAAGCAATAGTCCTCTTTCTTTGTTTTCACAGGTGCTAAAGTGTTGGAGAATCATGCCTCTGCCAACATGTTTGGAAAGAGTTTGTGGCTACCCCCATTCCCTGTCCCAAGTTCGTGGGAGAAGATGACCCATGGACTACTCACACACCCACTCAAAAATCCATGGCGATTCCCCCACTTGCCAAAAGCAGCTGAAGGAAAGATAATTCATATGACTTGGTTCCTCTAAGCATCTGCCTTTTGAAGAAATTTTTAAATATAAATTTTATAGCTGATGATTTAAACACAAAGCACATAGAAAAGGAGACAAAACTATAAACTGATTTGTCCCCAAGCCAGTATCATCTGATCAATGTTAGTGACTGTACTCGTGTCTTAATCATGTCTTCGTTCTGTTTTTGTTAAAATGCAATGGAATCTGGAGATGTTTATATCCATGGAGACCGTGATCCCAAGCTCCTTACAAACGTTTTGTAATTGCTGATCTGTTGAAGAGTACACATTCCAGTCTGGTTTGGTCTAGTTTTTAAAGCCTGATTGGGTATGAACAGCATGTAAGTTTGGATAGCAGATAATAAGCAACTGCTTTTAGGGGGTGCAGATAAGTCATTTCAAAGGTATACATTTTAGATCACAAACAGGAAGTCTATCCTTTGAGGAAGGTACTTTGTTTCTGGCAAAAATGTTACTAAGCAACCTCTAGGCCAGCAATGACTAATGACTCAAATGATGTGTTTCTACCTGCCCTCTCCTCTTCCCTCAACTATTGGCAGCCAAAGTTAAGGGATAGCTTTCTCACTCCCTGGTAAGGCAAATCTACCAGGTTGACTCTTTGTCCTGGAATATGGAGATGAAGGCCCCAGATGCCCAGGAAGTTGCTGGATGCTCCATGGTGATAGAAGGTCAAATGTTCTAGAAACCAAGACCAAGCTTGATCCCGAGGCAGAAAGAAACCCTATCTATGTGTGCTTTTGGCAGGGGAACTGCCTCAGAGGAAAATAGGCAGACCAAAAATAATCCTGCACAATGTTTTTAAAAAGTAGCTGGATTTAAAGATACGATTTAAAATTAAAGACATTCTCAGTGTTTCTAACATCCTGAGTCTTTCAATGGGGTCATGTTGAAGAGATCAAAATAAAGGAGTGCGAGGAGCCCAGTCTGTCCCAGCACAGTGCAGCATGGTGCTTCTCTTCCCATAGACACACTGACTTCTTTTTCCTACACAAAACGTTTTTATGTGGACCAGATGCTCTGTCATGATTGTGGTTGTGCAACCCCGATATCCTCTAAACTCAAGAGTTCATAAAACAGGAAAAAGTAAATGACCCGTCAGAAGCACAGCCCATTCCTCCCCCCGAGTCTTTTCGCTCTCTCTTTTGGCAGTAATCTGTGGATGTTTTAAACAGGGCATCCATGAGTTCTCCAAATCCAGCTGGCCCACCAGGTTCCACACTTCAATCAGCAGATTGAGAGAAGTGAATTAAAGGAGCCATGTGAATTTAAATAGCTTTTCCTTTCATCAAGCAGATTCCTGAAGAGGAGTTAGGAATAATGTGCATTGCTTTTCTATCCTTCTTTCTTTGCACCTCTCACTGTGAAAAGTAACAGTCCCACCCGAGTCACACACTGGACTTGTGCTTCCTGGGGCAGGGCTATAGGTTTCTTGGTCACACTTTTGTTGGTGCTCAATGCACTACAGATATATTTTCAAATAAAACAGATGATTGTACACAAGAATGGGTTGGATGTTTGGTTGGCAATCTCCACTGGATCTGGGTCACACTTCAGAACATCTCCAGGTGAGATTATAATTTAGGTGGACCTCTGCCTATTGACTTGGTGAATTATACATGGTCATAGGAAGTTCACCCATAGGAAAGAAATGCAGCTATCCCTGCCACCTAGGTCTGCCAAAGTAGAGGGTCAAAGGCCAAGGAAAGAGATAGGGTGAAAAAGGAGTATTGTCTAGGGACATTTTTTGCCCTCTCTTGACCCAAAGATTAGCAGGTTTTGCCTGCACTACAGAGAGAAGGCAAGTGAGGGAGCAGTTTCATCTTGCTACTTTGCTAGCTTGACTCAAGGGTCTAGCGCTTAGTTAGGTATCCCAAGAACAGGAAGGAGGAACCCCTGGGAGGGACTCCAAATGTCCACAGGCCTGGGCAGCAGCATCTCACTCCAGAACCCTGTTCAGGGATGTCTCAACACTCCTTGCCCATCCTGCCCCTGGCTAGCTGGGAAAAGGAGGACCCTGGGGCACCATCTGCTCCTCTAGACACCCAGGATGCATGAGGCTTCCATTGTCACACTGGGTTCCCTTGGGCAACACTGTCCCCACTTGTAAAGATTGGATGCTGAGATCAGTTAGCATCATTCCTATCTCTGAATATATTATCCTTTGTTGGAAATGCTTAGGACCAGAAGTGTTCAGATTTCACACTGTTGTTCAGATTTTGGGATATTTATAAGAGTTTGCCAGTCTAGCATCTCTGATCCAAAAATCCAAAATGCTTATAATCCAACACTGAGCAATATGCCAGCTCTGAATGAGTTTTGAATTTTGGTGCATTTCAAATTTCAGGTTTTTGGACCAGGGATCCTCAGCCTTTTACTGAAGTATTGTTAGAGCAGGACTATATAAAATTTACCATACATCAGGGATTCAAGAAAAGATGGGATTTCTATCCATTTATTGCTTCTTTACAGCTGTAACTCTGGGCAAGTCAACAAACTTCTGTATCCATAAGAACTTCCTTGAGATTGATCAGAAAACCTTATTCTAACAGAAAACCAACCATGCCTACCTAGTTTCCACAGGCTGGGAGGGAAGGGGTCCTCTGGTCCTCTTTTCCATTCTAATACATGCCACCCTGGAAATGATCTGGACTGACAGGGCTGCCAAGGGTAATTCTAAATGCAAGGAGACAACTCTATCCAAACTATACCCATGCCTCCATCAGGTACATCTGGGGAGCAGGCACTGCTGAAGTTGTTTGCACTGTATTAAATCCTTCTTTTTAACCTCTGTCTTCTTTCAACCAGAGAACAAATTGAAAACCAGGGCTTACTTCTGCTTCATGCACCCTTTCCACAGATCAACTTTTAAAGGACAGGGAAAGAAGTAACTTAACCCTTTGCTGACACCACCTTTATTTCAGTTCAAATTTATCTAGTCTTCAGGGCATGGAAATGTTTCTGATAAACACATGCATGGGGAATGATACATGTTTTGATGTTAAAACTTCCTGTTTTACTAATTAAATATCCAGTGAAAAATGAAGGAAGAATTTCCCTGAAATGTAGCTGAGTCTTAACACATTGCTGGAAATACAGTCATACACCTGTAGCCTGTGTTGGAGTTCCTGAAATGTGTTTCTCTTTGTCCTTCCTGAGCTTAAAATCAGGTTAGAATATATAGCACATCCTCAGTTTTTAAATCGATAAATGTAAACAACATAACTGTGGTTTCAGGTCAACAAAGCAGAATAAACTTAAAATCTTGTAGCTGGAGAATGAAGAATGGCCCACTGATGTGAAGAATGTGACTTGTTTTGGCCCATGGTCCTAGGTGACATGTATATGCTTAGTACAGGTGATGTGCCATCTTGTGCTCCCCAAAGGTACCTCAGAACCTTTGCTCTCTCTGATCATTTCAGTAGACCCCAAGGTAAAAAAGCACTTTGTGTTATATTTCTGCAGTCCAGGGCTCCAGGGCACAGCACAGACCATTCTGTGCATGGTCCTAACAATTGCTCCCCTTTCCATTCTTTTCTACCCTATTTCACTGCTACTTTTCTCACTGGTCTGCACCAGTGAAAAAGAAGAGGAAAGTATCACATGCCAGTCTCGGGAGAAAGCCAGGGAATCATTCCATGGCTACTATCTGGATACTCCTGAAATAATAGAAAGGTCCAAAATACATTCTTGAATAACCCAAACCACCTACAGTGCCATGTGTAACCTCAGACAGGTGTAGGAATGTTCTGGCAGAAGGGAGAGCTTGCACTTTGCCTTTGCTCCCCACCCAGACCCTTCCATGGAGCACCTGCAGGTCATGCTGAAGCTGTGGGTGGCACAGATTTGGCTGGAAGAGGATGTTTGTCTAGCAAGATCCAGAAACAAAACAACACTCACTTGGATGGATGATATGTTTGGGGCTGCTGATGGGCTCGCACGGGACAGGTAATCTCTTCATTTACTCATCTACTCATTCAGCAGGCATTTAGTGTCAGGCCTGTCCTGGACACCAACTAGAGCTACAGAGAGCCACACATTGTAACATGGGAGACAGATTGTATGCAAAATGGAGAGTCAAACAGGGAGCATGTGGAACATTAGAGAAAGGTAACTTCGAAGAGAAAGTCAGCAGAGTAAGGAAGTTCAGGGCTCAGAGGAGCTATAGCATCAAATCTGGTGATCAGAGAAGGCTCTGCTGAGATATAAATACATTCATTTTGTGTGTGTGTGTCCTGGTGATTGAACCTGGGGCTTCAAACATACTAGGCAAGTACTCTACTGCTAAGCTATATACTCAGCCTTTTTTATTTTTTGTTTTGAGACAGCCTCATTAAGTTGCCCAGGCTGCTATTGAACTTGGGATCCTCCTGCCTGAGCCTCCTTGGTAGCTAAGATCACAGCCTGTGCCACCATACCAGGCTTGAGCAATATTCTTGACAGGTGAGGCAATAAACCAAATGAGTTTGTGGACAAAGCTTTCCAGGCAAAGGGCACATCAAAGACAAGGCAGGAGAACCACTGGCAGGTTTTAAGGAACTCAGGAGGACTCAGACAGCTGCAGCTGAGTGAGCACTAGGGAGGCTGGTAGAAGACGCAGTTGGGAGAGATGGGGGGCTGTGAGGAGGTGCTGAGCAGAGGAATGCTGTGATCTGACTTACATTTAAAGAAAATCAGTCTTGGCCTAGCTACTTTCAAGGCTGGACAAGAGGAGCATTTGAGCCCCAGGAGTTTAAGGCCAGCCTGGACAACATAATAAGACTCCCATCTCAAAAAATATTGCTCTTATGGTTAGGAACTGGCCAGTTAAAAGGCCAGTGTGATCATCCAGTGAGATGATAGAGGTTTAGACCAGGATGACAGCAGTGGACAGGAGAGAGGTGGTCTGATTCTGATGATATTTTAAATAGAAGTATCTGATGGATTGGATGTGGGATATGAGAAAGGCAGAGGAGGCAAGGTGATGCCAAGGACCTTGTCCTGAGCACCTGGGAGGATGGGGTCACCTTCAGTCACCAGGGGAAGGCTATGAATGCTGCAGGTTGGAGAGGGCAAAGAAGGAGTTTTCATGGAGCAGGTAGAACCAGAGATGTCTTTCCAGGAAGAGGGGGCAAGCAGGCAGCTGGGCATGTGAATCTGGAGCCTAAATTAGAGATCTGGCTGGAGACATAATTCAGAGTTGTCAGAACCTCACCACCATGATATTGATGAGCCCATGTGCAAATGAGCATAAATGATCAAGGCCATGTTCCTGAGCTCTCATGTTATTCAAGAAGAGCCAGAGAGGGGCTGGGGATTTAGCTCAGTGGCACCGCGCCTGCCTTGCAAGCTCAAGGTCCTGAGTTCAATCCCAGTACCAAACAAAACAAAACAAAAACAAAGGAAAGGCTGCATAATTTCCAGTGGCTATGCTGGCAGCCCAAGCTGAGCGCTCGGCTGGGCACCTCAGGTTGGGAGCGCTGGGCTGGACAGGCCCTGTCCCAGGCTGCTGCCCTGGCAGGAGCCGGAGGAGGCAGCCGCTGCCCCGAGGGCAGCAACGACTTCCAGTGGTGCTTCTCTCAGGTGAAGGGCACCCTCATGGAGGACGTGGTGGAAGCTGACATCATTTCAACTGTTGAATTTAATTACTCTGGAGATCTTGCAACAGGAGACAAGGGTGGCAGAGTTGCTATTTTTCAACAGAAACAAGAGAATAAAAGCAGTCCTCATTCTAGGGGAGAATATAATGTTTACAGTACCTTTCAACGTCATGAACCAGAGTGTGGCTATTTGAAAAGTCTAGAAATTGAAGAAAGAATTAATAAAATTAGATGGTTGCCACAACAGAATGCTGCTCATTTTCTACCCTCTACAAATGATAAAACTATTAAATTATGGAAAATAAGTGAATGGGATAAAAGAGCAGAAGGTTATAACTTGAAAGATGAACATGGATGACTTCGAGATCCATTTAGAATTACAGCACTACAGGTTCCTATATTGAACCCCATGGACCTCATGGTAGAAGCAAGTCCACGGCAAATTTTTGCAAATGGTCACACATACCATATAAATTCCATTTCAGTAAATAGTGATCATGAAACATATCTTTCTGCAGATGACCTGAGAATAAACCTATGGTATTTAGAAATCACAGAAAAAAGCTTTAACATTGTGGATATCAAACCTGCTAACATGGAAGAGCTGATGGAAGCCATCACCCCTGCCAAATTCGAACCACACCAGTGCAATGTGTTTGTCTACAGCAGCAGCAAAGGGACCATCCGGCTATGTGACATGCATTCCTCTGCCCTGTGCAACAGACATTCTAAGTTTTTTGAAGAGCCTGAAGATCCCCAGCAGTAGGTCCTTTTTCTCAGAAATAATTTCATCCATCTCTGATGTCAAATTCAGCCACAATGGTGGACACATGATGACGAGAGACTACCTGTCAGTGAAGGTATGGGACCTTAACATGGAGAGCAGGCCTGTGGAGATCTACCAGGTGCATGAGTACCTGTGAA